GCTGAGTCCTCAAGTTCCATCAAGCTTTTGATGAAACTCTTACATTTATGACATGCTGGAATTAGCTTCTGGCAATTCTTGATAGTTTTTCTTCAGGTATCTGCCCTTACAAAATACTCTGTATCTACAATACTTATGGAATAGGATTGACTCTTACATGTGACTATGCACTTGTAAGACTCATTTAGGTGTTAAATTTAGCAAAATGATGAAGACTTAGATTAAACAAACAAATAAAAAATATTATCCAGCACTCATAATAAGAAAGCAAACTGAGAGTCTGGTATTTCTATGTTTATATATGGTAATTCATTGCATATCCCTGTGACTTACTTTTCTTCACTCCATGCAACTCAGATATTCGTTTCCTTTACAATACCTAGACTCTTTATTCCTCTCCAGATTTTCCTCATTTGTTTTCCTATCCTGGTGTCTTGATATCTTTTTAATAACAAATTTTATACTTTTTACCTTTTTTTAAATTATAGAAAATTTTAATATTCATATGTGGTCTGTAAAAAGTAATGAGTTTTTTTTCAGAGAATGGTGATCATTAAATTCCACATGCATCAAAATGGAATGTGTCATCTCTAAGCAAAATATAAGCTCACATACTATGCATAAAGACAACTATTGTTTGCTTCACTCAGGAATGTGTTTAATGGGAGGGAAATTTTTAAATAGGCTATTAGAAATATTCTCATTCTTTTTTAATGTCTTTGAGTTGTATGAGCAGAATTGTAAGAAATTTCCAGTGACTCATTCCTGGTTTTAGCTATCTGACATTCTGTGAAACCATGCATATTAAAACCTCTTAACAGCTCTCAGCAAATTGTTGGCATTAGAGCTTGTCTCCTGTACCTATCAAAGACTCCAGGTACTTTTTTCAAGCTCTCTCACTAGCAAGCAATCTATATATATAAAAGCCTAATATGCAAAGTGTCCCCTCAGGAGTTCAACCGGGAGACTGGGAGTTTTATCTCTTACTATGACATGCACTCAACACCAGAGGGTGACGTGGAATGAAGAAAGGCCCCAGCTGGCAGCCGGCAGCTGCTAGGGACCCTACCCGTGCACAAATTTTGTTCACTGGGCCTCTAGTATTACACAGTTATTAAAATATGAGAACTAACTAAAAAATCTGAAAGTTGCAAAGAGTGTTGTAAATCACTAAGCAATTAGCATGAGATTTTTTAAATGACTGAGTACAAATTCTGAATTATGAAGTTATTATCTAATAACCCAACAAGTGATGTGAATAAATCTATGATAATATGAAAATTATCAACCACTGAAATGCTCTTTTCTACAAGCAGGTCTGTGCATCCTCATGCTAATGCCCTTAGATTGATAAACTACAGGCATTCTGTGAAAGCTCCATTTATTCCAGTTGCTAAGGATTGTGCTCAGAGAATTTGTCATCCAAATGATAAGCAAATCGAAATATGCCACTTGTTTTCATTTAATAGTAGGAAGGTTTTCACCAGCTTAGACTCAGTCTTATGATTATTCTGTTAAACTAATTGCCAGAAAATGAATTTTATTATTTTATTTTATTATTTTATTTTCCTCTCTTTGTCCCAATAATGGAAGACTCAAAGCCATCTACATACACTTTGAAAACATATGTTGAATATAATCTCCTGTCAACTGTGTGTTTGCAAAGGCCCCCTAGTCCTTGATTCTGCTGTAATTCATTCTATACTCAGCTCTCAGAATTACTTTCTAATTATGCTATTTCCCTTTCATAGTGCTCCACTTCCCTGTCATATACTACAGAAACTCTCATATGGCTTCAATGCCCTCCATTATCCAGTCCCACTTAGGATACTTTTTATTTTTTTATTTTTGTTTATATCCTATATAATAAAAGCCCAGCGACCAAATGACCAGAACAGCAGGTCGACCAGTCGCTATGACGTGCACTGACCACCAGGGGGCAGACACTACATACAGGAGCTGCCCCCTGGTGGTCAGTGCACCACCACAGTGGGAGCACCACTTGGCTGACTGGGATGAGCCCCAGGCTCCTCCTCCTTCTTGCTCCCTGCTGCCTCCTCCAGATGCCCGCAGGCTGGCAGCGCCACCGCCAGGCTCGCAGAGCTGACCCCAGAGGTTTGTGGCCACTACAGAACTGAGGCTTACTCCACCGTTTCTCAGGGCTATTGTCCCTGGGCCCAGCCCTGACCAGATCCCCTGGAGAGGCGAGTGATCTGGCTCCACAGAAGATGCAGTACCAGGGAGCAGCTGCTCAGAGGGCTGGCCTGCAGCCACTCAGCTGCCTGGGATGAGCGGTGCTACCACAGCAGGCAGATCTCTGCAGGCCACGCCCCCCCCCCCCCACACCAGTGCATAAATCCCATGCACCAGGCCTCTAGTTACAATATAAAAGCCATTCAGAAAGAAAAGCTTAAACCATTTATCAATGAATAATAAGTTCACCTAATCACCGTCCAGAATAAAAAATAGAATATTCTCATTACCACGGTAGCTATGTTTCCTTGTCTATGTTTCTCTCCACATCCTTAATTATCAGACTGCCTCTCATTCTGCTTTTCAGCTCTTCACTCTTTCTTTGGGAATATATATTTGTTTATCCTCTTGTACCTCAGGTTTTAACTCTGGACTATAAAAGGTCACTAATTCTTTCTCCAGCTGTTTCTAATCTGCTGATAAACTCAGTCATTAAGTTGTTAACTTTGATCATGATCTTTTCTAATTCTGAAATTTCTATTTAGTCCTTTCTAAATTCTGCAGTGACATATCCTATAGTCCAATTTCTTGTCAATTGCAAAATCCCCTTTAAACATAATAAGCATGTTTATAATATGCATCTGAAAATTTAGTATCTGAGTTCTCAAAGATCTATTTCTATTGGATATTATTTCTGCTGGTTCTCTATATGAAGTGCAATCTCCTTTTATATGATATTTTGGACTTTTGTTTTGAACAACTATTTAAAGCAGGGGTGGGGGATTTCTGGCCCGAGGGCCATATAAGGCCCACAAAAATCATTTGGTCTGGCCCTGCCAAGGCATTAGAGGTGAGTTAATTAAAAGTTTGACCACATAGAGCAGACTAATTTTTAAGTTGATAATTTTGTAGGGCCCACAGATGATGTTATAAATATCCAAATGGCCCTTGGCAGAAAAATGGTTCCCTACCCCTGAAATTTTAAGGGAATAAAATATGATCTAAAATGAAGATACTTTCTTCCAGTGAGGATTGTGTTTTATTTTGTCATGCATCTGGAGTCTCTACAAGTCTCATGTCAACTTAAATTGCATTAAAATCTGAGACAAATTATGTTATCCTTATCCTAGATTTTAATTCATAGGTTGAAAAATTCAAGGTCACAGGAGATAAAGTTGAAGTAAGTAATTATGATGCCTTCCTCTTCTGTAACGTGTTGTGTGACCTTGAGTTGAAACTTTTGTTTCTGATTTTTCTTATCTGTTAAAATAGTACAAAGTGGGTTAACCCAAAATGGTGATTTTCCTTTTTTCTTAGAGTCTATTTTCTTTCTCTGGTGTTTTGTTTGTCCCAGTTATGTTGTACATTGCTTTTGTTTTGCTTTATATTTTTTGAGTACATGACTTTTCCTAATACTAGGTTAAAATTATTTTGGAAGTGGTACTCATGAGTTTTTACCATATCTCTCACTATGCTGAGTAGCTGCTCAATGCATGTTAAACAGATGAGTCAGTGAATGAGCAAACTTTGAAATAGGTGCACAGATAAAAATGATTAAACCAAGCTTAGTATTGTTGCCTTAGAAAAGGAACAAATTTCTTTTCTATTACAGGTTACAAAACTTTACTGACAGTTATATAAGAGTATAGCACATACAACTATGTACAGTACGTAATACTTGATAATAATAAATGACTATGTTACTTGTTTATGCACTTGCTATAATATACGTCTTATTATTTTATAGTGAACTCCATGTACTTATATAAAATATGTTTTCTGTATAAGAGTATGCCACGTTATACCTGCAGCAGCCTCATACATCTTGTATTTACCAAGTGTGTTGATTGTATCATTTTTTCTTGTGCTTGATTTAATTTTGTGTTGTTTTGTACAGTAACATACCATACAGGCTTGTAGCCTAGGAGCGATAGGCTGTTCCATATAGCCTAGGTATGTAATAGGCTAGACCAGTGGTTGGCAAACCGCGGCTCACGAGCCACATGCGGCTCTTTGGCCCCTTGAGTGTGGCTCTTCCACAAAATACCACGTGCGGGCACGCAAGTACAATGTGATTGAAACTTCGTGGCCCATGCGCAGAAGTCGGTTTTCAGCCTGGGCGAGTATATTTTGAAGAATTGGTATTAGAAGGAGTGAGGGGTGTCGGTCTGTCGGGCAACTTGAGACGCAGCGCAGGCAGGAAGCGGGACACACAGAGCCGGGGAGGCGAATGCGACTCAATGCATGAGTTGAGGATGGGAGAGTTGGAAGGGGTCAACCTCAGCAAACTTACCTCAATCAGATTGAGGACATTTTTAGCAAAGGCCAGCTTAGGAGTACCCTAATTAAGTTAATAATAATGTACCTACCTATATATTTGTTTAAAAAATTTGGCTCTCAAAAGAAATTTCAATCATTATACTGTTGATATTTGGCTCTGTTGACTAATGAGTTTGCCAACCACTGGGCTATACCATTGAGGTTTGTGTAGGTACAGTTTATGATGTTGGAACAATGACAAAACTGGTTAAGGACATATGTCTCAGAGCATATGCCTGTCATTAAGTGTTATGTCTATAATTAAATGAGAGCTGACAAGAAATTGGGTAATTAAACATTGTTTAGTAATATGCTACATTAACAACACAAAACTTATATTAACAACACACAAGTTCTATTTCTAAGTTAATTATATCAAAGTGCAAAAGCAATTTTTAGACTATAAGCAACACTCTTAGAAGAATTAACCTTTGCTTTTTAAGGAGCAATATAGATTGACATCACGGATATCTCTTATTTCCCTGCAGGAAGAACCTTTTGTAATGGTCTCTGAAAATGTCCTGGGTAAGCCCAAGAAATACCAGGGCTTCTCCATTGATGTTTTGGATGCCTTATCTAACTACCTGGGATTTAACTACGATATTTATGTTGCACCGGATCACAAATATGGAAGCCCACAGGAAGATGGAACATGGAATGGCTTGGTAGGAGAACTAGTCTTTAAGGTAAGCATTTACTTTGTTATTTATCTACGATGTATCTAAAGGTTGAACTATAACCCCGAGAAGCTAATTTAATATAAAATAAATGCAAAGCGAAGTATTAAGTGGTGGTGTTGAATGCCAAAGTCTTACCCAATACTATTTTATGATCTTTGTTGAAAGAAAAATTAATGACAAAACAAAGCTAGACTTTAGAGTATTTCCTACTAGAGGCCCAGTGCACAAATTTGTGCACAGTTGGAGTCCCTCGGCCTGGCTGTGATCGAGGCCTATCAGGGGGGCCAGCTGGCCAGCAGGAGGTTGGCTGTGGGAGCACACTGATTACCAGGGGGCAGCTTCTGCATTGAGCATCTGCCCCCTGATGGTCAGTGCACATCATAGCGACTGGTCAACCATTTGTTCTGGTCATTTGGTCTTAACAGTTGCTTAGGTTTTTATATATATAGACTAGAGGCTCAGTGCACAAAAATTTGTGCACTTGGGGGGAGGGGGCGTCCCTCAGCCTGGCCTGTGCCCTCTTGCAGTCTGGAACCCCTTGGGGGATGACCACCTGCTGGCTTAGGCTCGCTCCCCAGGGGATTGGGCCTAAGATGGCAATCAGACATCCCTCTGGCAGCCTGGCAGCCCTCGGGGGATGTCCACTTGCCAGCGGGGAGCAGGCCTAAACTGCAGTCGGACATCCTTAGCACTGCTGAGGAGGCTGGAGAGGCTCTCACCACCACCGCTGTACTGGCAGCCATCAGCCTGTGGCTGAGCAGAGCTCCTCCCATGTGAGAGTGCCCTGACCACCAGAGGGCAGCTCCTGCATTGAGTGTCTGCCCCCTGTGGTCAGTGTGTGTCTTAGTGACCAGTCATTCCCAGTCCTTCTGCTGTTAGGGTCAGTTTGCATATTACCCTTTTACTATATAGGATAGACGCCTGGTGCACGGGTGGGGGCCAGCTGGTTTGCCCTGAAGGGTGTCCTGGATCAGGGTGGGGGTCCCGCTTGGGTGCCTGGCCAGCCTGGATGAGGGGATGATGGCTGTTTGCAGCTGGTCACACCCCCTTCATGGTGGGGGTCCCCACTGGGGTGCCTGGCCAGCCTGGGTGAGGGGCTGAGGGCCGTTTTCAGGCTGGCGGGTGACTGAAGCTCCCTACCTCTCCTTTTTTGCTTTTTTTTTTTTTTATTCTGGGATTTATTTACCTTCTATGGCTGTCACTGGAGCTGAGAGCCGGCTTTAGCTCTGAGGCTCAGCTCCAGCTCTGAGACCTTGGCTGCTGAAAACAGGTATCTGGGCTTTGTTTAGCTTCCATAATTGAAACACTGTTGCAATTCAGTTCTGAGGCCCGGCTGACTGAAAGCAGGTTTCTGGGGATTGTATAGCTTCTATAATTGCAACATAGTTGCTTAGAGTGCAGCTCAGAGCTGGGCGGCGGCAGGTGGGGAACCTTGGCTTCCTCCATCACTGGAGCAAGCAAGCCTCCTGTTCGCTTCAGCTGCCTGGCTGCCGGCCGCCATCTTGGTTGGCAGTTAATTTGCATATCACCCTGATTCGCCAATGGGAAGCATGATGGAAGTATGGTTAATTACCATGTTTGTCTATTATTAGATAGGATGATAGAAATGTATCTAGAACAGTGATGGCGAACCTATGACATGCGTGTCAGAGGTGATACGCGAACTCATTTTTTTTGGTTGATTTTGTCTTTGTTAAATGGCATCTAAATATATAAAATAAATATCAAAAATATGTCTTTGTTTTACTATGGTTGCAAATATCAAAAAATTTCTATATGTGACACGGCACCAGAATTAAGTTAGGGTTTTTCAAAATGCTGACACGCCGAGCTCAAAAGGTTCACCATCACTGATCTAGAACAAAGACTTACCTTTGCCAAATTTATACTTCAAACATTTTGTCAGTATATGGTACATGATGAAGTCACAATGCAATTTACAAACATAATTCATGTCATTGTTTTCTTTTAAAAACACAGTGTTATTTGTAAAAACTAAATAAAATCCTGATCACTTAAGAACTAATCATTTTTACTTTTAGGGTATAAATATATGAATAAGGTAAATCTATTTTTATTGATATTTTTGTCCTTAGCCTTTAAATTATTGGAGAGGCGTTTAAATTTCTGTCTTTTTATTTTTAAACATTTTAAAAGTATCTTAATTTTTGAAAATTATACAGATATACCCTTTTTTTCCCCATTGATCCATTCTAGCCCACTCCCTCCACCCTCTCCCCCTGTCCCAGGCCTTCACCACACTATTGTCTGTGTCCATGGGTTATACATATATGCATATAACTTCTTTGGTTAATCACCAACCCTGCCACCCCCACCCCTGCCTTCCCTCTGAGATTCATCAGTCTGTTCCTTGCTTTTCTCTGATTGGCTTATTTCACTTAGCATAATATTCTCCAGGTCCCTACATGCTGTCTCAAAGGATAAATGTAAGTTATGAGACCATAAAAATCCTGGAAGAAAACGTAAACTTCTCTATGTCTTAATCTATATTACTGTATATTTGTCTTATTTTTTTAAGTTCTTTTATTAATTCATACACATTTGTAATTGTTAAGTCTTCTTGGTTAATTGTTAAATAGTCAGGTTTAGGTCTATGATTTATTATTTGATTTATATGTGTCCTAGTTTCTTCCTAAGTTCCTTCTTTTCTTCCTTTCCTTGGGACTAATTGAATGTTTTTAGTGTTTCTTTTTTTTCTTTCTCTTTTTTGGCTTTTTAACTGTATTTCTTTGTAGTTTTATTTGTCTGTGGTTAGAACATAATATGCATTCTTAACTTATCACATTCTATCTAGATATATTATACTACTTCAGATTTAAAAAGAAATAAACTTACAGCGATGTAATTCAATTTACACCCACCTTATCCTTTGTGCTATTGCTGCCATACATTTATATTTTATGAACTCCACAGAAAATGCCATAGTCTTTTATTTAAACAATCATTTGTCTTTCATAGGTACAAATAGGGAACTAAAGACAGTGCAAGAGTAGCCCTTCCTTCCTCCAGCTGCTGGCACTGGCTTCCCTCTGGCACCTGGGCCTTGGGCTTTCCTCCGGCACAGGGACTCAGGCTTGCCTCTGGCCACCGGCACCTGGGACCCAGGCTTCCCTCGCAGCCCCAGCTTCATCCAGAAGGACTTCCGGAAGGATGTCCGATCTAATTAGCATATTATGCTTTTATTATTATAGATATTCATCACTTTAAAGATGAAATTATATTCTCTTTTGCCAAGTATTTTTTTATGATGAGAAGTTGACCGTTATTTATACTTTTGTTTCTTTTTGTTGTTGTTTTGTTTTAGTGTGAAAATTGCCTTTTTAAAATTCTCTTTTCAGTTTTTTAAATCCTTAATTTTTCTTTTTATTGAATTTATTGAGGTAACATTGTTTAAAAAAATTATACAGGTTCAGGTGCACAAGTCTACAACACATCATCTGTACACTGTATTAAGTATGCAACAACCCAAGCGAAATCTCCATCCATCACCATTTATCCCCTCTGTACCCTATCCCACCTCATATCTCTTGTCCCGGCAATCACCACATTGTTGTTTGTATCCATAAGTATTTTTCTCTTTCTTTATTTTTATTTTTGCTCAATCCTCCTCCTAATTCAGCACCCCCTCCCATAGCTGTCAGCATGCTCTCATCTATGAGTCTGTCTCTATTTTGTTTGCTAGTTTATTTTGCTCATTAGATTCCACATGTGAGTGAAATCATATGGTACTTGTCTTTTTCTCATTGGTTTATTTCACTTAGCATAATACTCTCTAGATCCATCTATGCTGTAGCAAAGGGTAAGATCCTTATTATTTATGGCCCAGTAGTATTTTACAGTGTAAATGTACAACCTCTTTGTATTTTTTTAATTAAATCTTTATTGTTCAGATTATTACAATTATTCCTCTTTTTCCCCCCCATATCTCCCCTCCACCCGGTTCCCACCCCACTCTCTGCCCTTACCCACTCCCCACTGTCCTCATCCATAGGTGTACAATTTTTGTACAGTCTCTTCCCACACCCCCCACAACCCTTTCCCCCCTGAAAATAGCCAGTCCACTCCCTTTCTATGTCCCTGATTCTATTATGTTCACCAGTTTATTCTGTTCATCACATTATTTATTCACTTGATTTTTAGATTCACTTGTTGATAGATGTGTATTTGTTGTTCATAATTTGTATCTTTACTTTTTTCTTCTTCTTCCTCTTCTTAAAGGATACCTTTCAGCATTTCATTTAATACTGGTTTGGTGGTGATAAACTGCTTTAGCTTTTCCTTATCTGTGAAGCTCTTTATCTGACCTTCAGTTCTGAATGATAGCTTTGCTGGATAAAGTAATCTTGGTTGTAGGTTCTTGGTATTCATCACTTTGAATATTTCTTGCCACCCCCTTCTGGCCTGCATAGTTTCTGTTAAGAAATCAGCTAACAGTCATATGGGTATTCCCTTGTAGGTAACTGAGTTTCTTTCTCTTGCTGCTTTTAAGATTCTCTCTTTGTCTTTTGCTCTTGGCATATTAATTATGATGTGTCTTGGTGTGGTCCTCTTTGGATTCCTTTTGTTTGGGGTTCTCTGCGCTTCCTGGACTTATAAGTCTATTTCTTTCGCCAGGTAGGGGAAGTTTTCTGTCATTATTTCTTCAAATAGGTTTTCAATATCTTGCTCTCTCTCTTCTTCTGGCACCCCCATAATTCGGATATTGGTACGCTTGAAGTTGTCCCAGAGGCTCCTTACACTATCTTCATATTTTTGGATTCTTTTTTCTTTTTTCTTTTTTCCCATTGGTTGTTTTTTGCTTCTTCGTATTTCAAGTCTTTGACTTGATTCTTGTGATCCTCTGGTCTGCTGTTGGAACTCCGTATAATAGTCTTTATTTCAGTCAGTGTATGCTTAATTTCTAGTTGGTCCTTTTTCATAACCTCGAGGGTCTCACTAGATTTCTTGAGGGTCTCACTAAATTTATCAGCAGTTTCTAGAAAATT